AAACCCGAGGTTTTTAAATATGCTCCGCACAAGAACAGGAAGTAGGCCAGTCTGATGAGAAGGGAGGTGGCATGTGGTCATCCAGCCTGAAGACCTTCAGGGCAGAGGTCTCCTTCACTTGGCCTAGTCCTAGTTACTTCATATCATGCTCTCAGAGCCTCTCACCATCCTGGCTGAACTCTTCTGGATGACGCCAGGTTATCAATGCCTTTCCCAAATGGCGGCATCCAGAATTCAATACAACACATCAGATGTGTTCTGATCAGACCAGAGGCCACTGGCCCGGTCACTTGCCAGGTTCTAAAATGCTCTGATATATCAGGGACACGACACCAGGAATTGTGGCCAGCCTGTTGATGATGAAACCTTTCTATACTTTGCTGGACTGGTCCTTGAAAAGTAGATGTGGTCAGTCTGTCCCCAAGCTCATCCTTGAAGCCTCTCAGCAAGATGGACCAATCAGTCTGTGTGCTCTCCCGGAGAGCTTCTGAGACCCCACAGCTACCTTCTTGCCACAACAACCCAGCAGAGGACAACCTAACTCCATATTTGGCTTATGCTTCAATGCCCAGCTATTTTACAGACCTACTTCTGTGGAGCCACACCTTCCCCACCTTGGGATTTGTGAAATTGATTTTTTGGACCCAAGGATAAAACTTGACATTCATCTCTATGAAATTTCCTCATACTAGATTCAGACCACTGTTGTGACTTGAATTTTTGGATACCGACTCCATTACGTAATATGTCACCCATTCCCCAACTGCCTTTTCATCACCTGTAAACTCAATAAGACTGCCATCTTTATGCCTTTATCCAAGTCATTGATAGCTGTGATATAAACAGTAAGGAGCTAAGCAGAGTGCCCTGCAGCACTCTGCTGGAGACCTCTTTGCAAGCTGACAGCAAGCCATAAATTAAATACCCCTTGGTTACAGTTTTCCAACCAGTTCCAACACTGCCTACATGGACTGTCATCTACCCTCACACCTCGCCATCTGGCCCATGAGAACAGCATGAGGAATCTGGTCAATGCTTGCCTAAAATCTTATCCCTGAAGAGGAAGCAAGAACACACATCGACCTCTCTTCTTGGCAGAACTGGAGGACTGTGGGTGGGGCACACGACTTACCCCGTCACACATGATTGGTGTGTTGGTTTACTTTGCTGAATTGTTTGTGCCTTTTTCTTTTTTATTCTTATAAGAGATGGCTTCTTGGGGAATGGACAAGGAGGGGTGCATTTAGAAATAAAGGCAATAAACAAAAGATCAATATAATTTTTTTTAAATTAGAAAAAAATCTGAGCTTCTCCAAGGGACACAATCTTAAATCTTCTTACAGAGCTTGGGTAAAGAGTTGGGACCAAAGATTAGCTATGTGACCCTGGACAAGTCATTTTTCCCCTCTGAGTCTCATTTTCCTCGTCATCAAATTCCACTTCAGATATAACCCATGATGGCATCCCACAATGCCTATCGAATTAAGTTTCCTTTCCTGCCATTCAAGGCTCTCTAGAGCCCAGCCCCATCAGCCCCATCCAATACCCTCCATTCCATCCCTCCTAGGCCTCAACACTGGCTGAATCTAATATCTAGGCTTTGCTCCTCCCCCTAAAAGTTCTTCCTCTTCTCCTCTTGCATTTCTACTTCCATCAAACCCCCAGGCTGACCTCTGACCCCAGTAAAAAGCAGCAAATTTCAAAGGTCCAGAGAAGGTCAATGCCTTGCCTCAGATCTGAACCCACATCCTCTGACTCCTCCCCTCCAGGTAGTGGAGAGAGCCTGGGCTTGGGAGTCAGGAGATGCTGCTTGGATAACTACCAGCTGTGGAACCTTGGGCAGCTCATTTTCCCTCCCTCCATCTGGCCCCTGATTTCTTCATCTGTCAAACAGGCCTGCAACCCCTCTCTCACAAGCTCCCTTTGAAGATCCAGGGAGGCAAAGGGGTCAGAGATCTTGGAGATGACTCATGCCTCATGGCAATGTCAGCAATGGCAGCGGGAAAAGCAAGGAACGTGCCCGGGGCCTTCATCTCCAAGCAAGCGATGCTCTGCTTTCCAAAGCAGAGGGCTGAGGACAGATTTCTCACATTTCTATAGCCTTTTTAGTTTGACAAATTCCTCTCCTTCAAAGAGCCTTTGGGGAGGCAGCCTACAGTAGAGTGTGCTAGATTTGAAGTGAGAGGACCTGAGTTCCAATCTGCCACTCACTAGATCAGCAGCCTTAGGTGAGCCGCTGAACTTCTCTGGGCCTCAGTTTTCTGACCTTTAAAATGATGGGGTTGGACCCCAGTGTCTCTGAGATCCCTGCCAATGACCAGCATAGGATTCTCTAAGTAGGTCTAAAAGGATTATATTCCCATTCTCCCTATGAAGAAACTTAGGCTTTAGAGGTCACATAGCCAGGAAGGGTCAGAGTGGGGATTTGAACCCGTGTCTCTCCTGACTCCCTGGCCATCTCTCTTTCTACTTATTGTCAGAGTCCTGTGACAGTTGGGGGTGCTCATGGAAACCTGGGAGACCAGGATGCTTCTCTCCAGCACAAGGGGCTGCTGAGAAAACCCAGAGGTTACCAAGGAAGTACAAAACTCACCCTGAACCTGTATCGCTAAGCAACCTGCACCAATTGGCCACAGTAACGCGCACTTGGTCATTTTTAGCTTTAGAAATAATTATGCAGAGAACATTAACAATAATCTGCATCGTGGCCTATCGGCTCTTGGATAGGTGGCCGGATCAAGGCAGGTGAGGTGGGGGTGGGGGTGGAAATAAATGGGCCGCTCTGCTCCAAGCTCAGCCGGCTGGCCTCCCCAAGGAGAAGCCTTCTGCCAAAGAAAGCTGCGTGTTCTGGCGGAGAGAGCTGGCTCTGGTGTTAGGGGACCCAGGTTCAAATTCCACTCCATGACCTTGGGCAAGTCACCTAAATTCCCTGGACCTCAGTTTCTTCATCTTTGGACTAGAGGGACCTTGAAGCCTTTCTCTCTTCAGTGGACTTCCTGAGAGCATCCTGGGAAGGGGAGACCAGGCCAGCACCCAGCACTCAGCACCTAGGCCGGAAGTCACACTCCCCTGTGGCAAGGCTAGAGATGCACCAGGACCTCCATTCCTAATCCCTGGGATTGCGCAGTCAGTCAATACACGTTTATTAGGCGGCACTGTATGGCAATGCCTCCAGGGCAGACCTCAGAAGGCTTAGCCTGGTGTTGATGCTGACACCTTCCAGAAGGAAGGAGCACCGGTTGTGGAGGCAGAGGCTAGGGAGCTGAATTCCAATCCTGCCGCTGCCCACCGGGGGCCATTTCATCTCTGGCTATCAGTGGGCCCAGTGTGAGGCATTTGGACTGGGAGACATCCAAGGTGTTTTCAGCTCCAAAGATTCAATTCTTCAATTGTGGCTGTGTGACCTTAGGGAGGTCACCCCCTCTCTCTGAGCCTCAGTGACCTTGCCTGATAAATGATCAATTGGGCAGGGGGATGTGGCTTGGCTTCCCCATCCAACCTGGGATGTGTCTGGAGGAGAATCTGTCTGAAGTAAACACTTCAATGCCCTAGTTTGTGAAGCGAAAGGCGGGGGAGGGGACGTCAAGTGAAATAAGCCCAGAAACCTGAAAACAAGATTTCCTAGAACGTGCATCACTGTCCCGAGGACAAAGGCCTGTGCCGGGAGTTAGGAGACCTGGGTTCTCAGCCCCCTCCCATCTCTGGCCTTTGGGTTTCTCACCTGCCAAATGAGGGCTATGATGGCTAAGGTCAAATCCAGCTCTAAGATTCTATGATGCCCCAGTCCCAGAGTAAAATTGTGGGAGCTAAATTTAGCATCCTGGCTGGGAACATGCAATTGGTAAGTGACTCCAAGGCCCAAGAAAAGGTAAGAAAGGATGGAGAGAGAAAAGGAGAGGAAACAAGAAAAGAGGGAAGGAGGAGAGAACAGAACTATAACAAGTGGAAGGCAAAAGCAGACAGGGAAAAGGATGGAGGAGAGAAGAGAAGGAGAAAGACAGGAAAAGGAGATACAGAATGAGAGTAAGGGAGAAGCTGATATACTTGGGCACAAGAAATAGAAATTAAAGCAAAGAAAGACGAGTAAAGGAGACGGGAAAGTAGTATTAAAAACAACAACAACAACCTTTCCACAAAACTTTGGGAAGAAGAGCTCAGCAAAGCTCTTGGCCATCTGTTTACTCTGCTGGGAACTCTCCCCCCCATAATAGGAAGGCCCTGGCCCCACGGCTATGGCCAGCGTGACCAGGAGCATTCAGTGATGGGCTAGATCTAGAAAAAAAAACCTCCTGCCCTGACATCATTCAATTTCAGTGTCAATGACAGGCTTTGGCAATCAGAGTGCTCACTTTTCAAAATAACAGTTCTGTTGACTGCATAAGATCATTCTCCACGTTGCCTTCTTTCTCTGGAACTTGCAGCATTTCCCCAGAATGTTGGATTGTGTGACCTTAGGCAAGTCACAAGCCTCTAGGGAATTCTGTTTGCCCATCTGTATACTGTGGGTGGGGTTTGGTTATGGTCCTTCCGGCTCTGAACAGTGATGAAGCTAGGAGGTCAGGCTGTCTCACCCTATTATTCTGTACTAATAAAATATTAACAGCATGGAGTTATTGTTGTTATTTTTAATCCCCTCGGGTTGAGGAATTCGAATGTAAGGTAACAACAGTCAGGATAATTTCTGTACCTCTAGAAACTCCCACACTGACTACTCTTCCAGGGGCTCTGAGCAGACTCGCCCTGACGGCGCTCATTTATTGTTGAAATTATTTATCAGGAGCAGGAGGAGCCTTGGAGAATGGTTCAGGAACAGCTTGGACAGCTGAGCCCAGGGATCTCTTCTTCCGTCCTTCACCACACACACACACACACACACACACACACACACACACAC